AAATTGAAAAAGTTAATATAAAAGCAGAAAATGCTCTTTCATTATTGTTGACTGTATTCTTAGTAGGTACATAGTACCTGGTAACATATGAATGAGTAAATTTGGTAATATTAGTTTATTTGTGAATTCGTTTAAGGCTAGCAAATGTTCATGCTTTGAACTTTTAAAATATGTTTCATTTTTAAAATACCATGCTTTTCATACTAGATAAGTTTTACTCTTAAAATCGCAGAATATATTTACATTACATGCTTAGCTACATCAACAAACAGTTACTGAATTTACTTTCCTCTTTTTAGTTTACGAAGTTGCGCAGTAGATGATAATTAGTTAAAAAATATGTATAAAAACTGCACTTGCGTGCTAAATATACGACCTTATTAATAACGAATTTAATAATAATGTTAATACCTGTTTTTATCAATTAGTCACCACTAATTTGACAAATACTTTAAATTAGTAAAGTCTTTTGAAATTTACAAACACATATTTTAAGCAATTATGTATTTTGTGGTCAAAAAGATAATTGTTATAATTATTTTTTACATTTTCGTAAAAAAGAATTTTACTAAACGTTACACGCCTTAGATAATATAGGAAGGGTAATTTCTAACTATAGATCAAAAACTCAGGTACGAGGTTCTCGTTACACTGGTACCTGGAGTATCTTAATCCCTCGCCTTAGCTCCGGTTCAAAATATAAGAGCAATGATTGTAAAATTTGCAAAAATTTTAAGTGTCCCTTTTAAATCAAGTTTAAAATCCATGCAAATAGATGAATAGTTGAAAATAAATAATACAGAAAAGAGATGAATAGTAAGTAACGAAGTAGACAACGTCAGAACTTCACACCGCAATAAATTGTGCAGTATAATAAAAATCGCATTTCTAGAGAACACTTTGTAAAATTTGAGTCATATAAATACAATAATATGATGTTATAATTTATAACAACTTGCTGCTTATAGACTTAGCCCATAAAATCATAAATTACGTGCCATTCAAGCTTAGCGATTGATAAACTGTTAACAATAAATAGTTAACAAATAGGAGTTAACTAGTTTTTGTATTTGTAGATGGTCAAGTAGTTGCCTTCCAATATTACGAAATTATTTTATTTCAGCATTTAGCCGAGTGAATCTCTGATGAACAGCTATTTTCTTGAGTTCAACCGAGATTTATGCAAATGTCAAAGGTGCAAGCGTCATCTGGAATACTCGTACAATGACTTGATTGAGGATTTTTGAAGATGAGGTTGTTCGAGCATTATAGGTCTAAATGACTCTAACAGGTGATAAAATTTTATTAGTATACAACAGCATTATGCTTTCGGTACAAATAACTTGCGGCTTTGAACACATGTCGAGGGGAATAACACAGTGAAATTAATTTTGCTTTTTGTAATAATTTAACAGCATTTCTGAAAAAAGTCTGTAACGTGTAATAAAAACTTCAATAATAGAAAGAGTTATGAAGAACCCATAAAATCAGTCTAATTAGGGACATAAAATTAATCACAGCACTTCCGGCTTCATCAAAAATTAAAGCAACTTCCTTTAGTTTCTCACTTCTATACTTTTCAATGATATAAATAAAAATGGATAATATTCCAAGTGCGCCGAATATAGATTTTTTCCTGAAAAATTTTAAGTATTTATACAGGTCTTAAAATTTAGCTAAAATTGTCAAAATTAATGGGATCGTTAATATATTTACATTCCAATAGCACCTCTAGTTCCTGGTACATATTAAAAAAAAAGTAACAAAACTTAATGTATCTGTGTAAAGTTTTAAATACTAAACTAACCATTATTTTAAAAAATAATCTTCGATTACACACATTTAATAACATCAAACAGCAAAATTTATTTTATTTTGTAAGTGTAATTATATTACCAAACATGATTTTAACAAAGCTAATCTAATTTGACCAGAATAATTTTGCTATTTATATATTTAACTATATATTTTCGGAATAAAAGTAACTAACCATGTAATACTAAAATAATGATTTTCCGCAATGGGTGGCTCGGAATAGCTCTCGTTGGTTCTTACCATAACATGTCTTTTTTTTTTCTTTACAAAATTGTGAAATGGTATTATACATAATTAAAACTGAAAAATTTATAAAAAAAATGCAAGCCGAATTAAGTAATTCAGAAAAAGCGGCGCAGTTCGACATTATCCAAAAGAATAGGTCACAAAGATCATTTTCATTCGCAATAGTTAGTTTACGTGGCAACGGATTTCCGCGCATTGTTGAAAAGAAAAGTATTTTCCCGAAGAATTTATTACATAATTCATCGTAAATTACGTACCAAGGAAGCGCAAAGAAACAGCAAAATTTGCAAAACACTATAAAAAAAAAACATTGTCCATCCAGTAAAACTAGTTGTGATCAATTATTTGATGACTCAAAACATACCTACGTTTTGTATCTTCTGTCAGGTAGTTATTAATAATTATTATTTATTACGGAATATTGTTGCTATAATTGTGCTAGTCTTATAATATAACTTCCAAAGAGTTATATAAAAAAATCTCTCTGCATTACCAAATCAAATCCGAGACAAAGAAGATTGAATTTTGCGGTTAAGATATCAATAAACTATTTAAATCGCCATCATGGAAAAATTCTGAAATAGACACAGATGTTTAAACGAATTATTAAACCGTGAAATCTGTAATTTAAATGTGTATTGAAAAAATTCAAAGAGACAACTTATTCACCTGTAAACACTTAAAGTCCCCGTTTATTTTTCTTTATTTTTGAAATATTGCAAACAGTTACAACTTGCATATACCACCACCTATTAATTATAAACCCTATCTAACTAATAAAAAACTAACCAAACTGCAGTGTTGGTGTCATAATTCAGACATTTTGCGGTAACTTTGGTTTTATTTTAACTGCAGGTGACCACAGTGAAGAATTTTCGAAGAAAAACATATTTTTATTTCAACTGACTGTGTTATCCTGTAATCACGAAAGAATTTATAAAGTCTGTAATATGCACAAGAAGTATCTGTTATGCGGTATGTAAAGTCATTGTTTATTGTCTTTCATGAAAAATAATAACAGTGTTAGTAATTGTGCTCACATAAGAGGTGGCAATGAATAAATAAATAGTGACTAATGATATTATTTTTAAATCTTGTGGGATATGCAAACACATTAAATGACATTTTTTTAAGACTGTTTTAGTATTGCACTTTAATTATTATAGCCATTTTTAACCAATAAACGTTAAAAATTAATTCAAAACAAATATTTCACACAACAGTAGGTATGTGTTTGAGCACTATCTGCAGGGTATAAATTATTAAAAAAACATGTAAAGCATGATGTTAAGAATGACCTTGTAACTATGGACTATAGACAAAAACTAATTTGTTTGTGAAGAACACAACCTTCTTTGTCTTTGGAGTGCAACAAAGATGCTTTTGTTTTTGGTGGACGTGTACTACGTGCGAAAATGTATAACGTTACGTAATTAGACATTCTAATTATCAAAATTCTGAAACGTTAATTTATGACTCGATATCTGTATTAATTCATAATTCAGTTATGACCAAAAGGATTAAATAAGAGACGTGTTTCATCACTTTCTATAAACACAAAAGATCCTTGTTGGCTGACTCACTAAAGATATATTCCACTCAAGAATGGTAACTTATTAGCTGTTAACAGTAGGTGTGTTCCGAACTAAGCATAAAACCGCTATAAAAGAATCCGAACTGCGTAACGTTGAATGGCATGAATGTGATATCAACTATTCTAGATAATTTTTTTTAAGAGAAGATTTCCCAAGTAGGTATGACTTTCTATGAAATGAAATCCGGTAATGCAAAAACTGTATCTTGAGTTTAAAGAATTGAAGATATAAAGTGTATCAGGCAGAAACGTCATGGTCAAGTGGCCCGAATGACTTTGGCTACATTTTACCGCCATTAAATTTTCCAGAACTTGACCGAACTAATTTGCGTAGAGATTACCTATCTACAAAAACTGGTTAGTTCAAAGAGTTCCAACACGAACGTAAAAATTAACTTGCCATTAATTCGTGGAATCCATGATTCCGCCGACATGCAAAAATCGCAGCATTTGTGAAAAATGAAAAAACTTAATTGCTCCATGCGTCAAAGTCGAGGATTAAATCATCGCCTATTAAAAAATCCGTTGAAATACCTATAATTTTAGATCATCGTGTGTTTTCTGCTCAGAAGAAACCCAAGCATCGTCTGCAACATTTCCGTTCCAGATTCGTTCGGTTTTTGCGAAGAAACTGATTTTTGCGATTCTGTAATATTTCCTGCTTCATTAGGTAAGATCAGCGGAACGATCTATTGCTTAACGATATTTTTTAATTGTTCGTTTATGGAATTAGTGCAATTTGGACATCTTTCAATAGTAAAATGGTAAAAGTGAAGGTTGTGTGATTGTTGCGATTATCTTTCACACTCATCTAAACTGATACCGAATCTGCACGACTGTGGGAGCAAAATGCGTACAAAGGCGGTATGTAAATGAGAAAGTAAAAAAGTTCACCGTTACCTACTAATAACGTGGGTTAAGGCAACGTGATAACAACAATTCCTAAATGCAGAGAAATTACAATTACAGACGAGAAGGCCAAAGCAAAACAAATAATGGGTTACTAATTATAGGAACTTTCATTAAATTACAGGCTTTAGTCCCCAAATTGTTCGACCTAGTTGGGTACCAAAACAAAAATACTCTTCCAGACTTAAGTCAAGGCTTAAATTTTGATAACAGTTTGCCGAAGGTTATACAATATATCGTGACCGACGCATGACCTATCTACAAGTTTCCTTTCATGCGACACCGCTACGTAAATGTTACTTGTTTCCAAAAACATTTTTATTCAGAAAGTACCCTTTAAATGATCCCCGCGTTTCGCTCTCGATCGAGCGTTGAAATCACTTCGTGTTCCCGAAGAAATGGCGAAACATGTTGACGAAATCGGAAATGAACTCACCATGAGTTATATTGTTAATTATCCAACATTTTTGGCACTTTTTGACGTCACTCCATTTTGAGTTTTGCACAAGTTATCACACTAAACACTTCAGGTGACTTAACACTTGACTGTCGGGTCGTTCGAGAGGTGAAGTAAAGGTGCGTCCCGTTAGGTTGGTATGCGTATAGAGACTAGCAGTGTTGTGCGATTGCAGACATGTTGGTTGACGCTGATGGTCTCCATTTTGTGTTGGTAAAGGGGGGCAGACGATTTTACCTGAAATAAGAATAATGTAAGCTGAATCACCTGTTACAAGACAGAAGTCACTCTCCATTATTACGACCACTCATTATCGGCTTTTGAACCCGTTAGACAAACGCATTTGCATTTAGAAACACGCAGAACATTACTGGAAAAAAGTGCTAGGTGGAATCGAAGTGGGTTTTTTTTGCACGACTGGATTATGTTTTACCAAAAAAAAACATGTATCCCATTCGACTTTTTTTTAATTTTACAATAAATTGTTATTTTATTTGACACGCAAATTTTGGTAGGCTATAATTTAAAATTATCTTAATCTGCACTGTAAGCAGAAGTTGTAAAGTATAAACTGGTAGGTGTTACTTTTTTTCGTTTTTGCAGATTTTCTTATTGGTTTAGTATTTATTTAAATATTTTTACATGGAATTCATGACTTTAACAAGCTGGCAGCTATGTTAATTTTTTATTCTGTTTTGGGTTTTCGATAAATTGCGTGTTGGTTCCTGCTGAAAACAGAATTTATTATTTTGATCGCAATGAAAGAAGTAGAATTGTAGTCGTAAAATGTCAATAAATTTGGGTCGGCACCCACGTTAAAGACATACCTAATGATAATGTTGACCTTACTTGCCATTGTTAAAAGTATCGTAAGGCTACCGCTGTTGAAGTTTAAATAAAACATTCCTTTTAACATCGTTGCATATTTGCCTATGAATGTTCTTTATTGTTGCTGCTGTAGGAAAGTTATTCTCGACGTTATTACTGGTTATAAAGTGATGACTGAAGTAGTCTTTTATTTACTATTTAGGTATTTTAATGAGGTATTGCATAATTTAATTATACATAGTGACGCGTCAGTGTCATAAAATCTTTATGCACAAAGGTGGAATGCAGAAATAGCGCCATAGAATAAATTAGAAATTTATTTTTCTGCAGAATTAGATACGGATTTTGTTCTAGTTTCGTCAAAAAAAAATCCAAAATTTAATTTTGCCTTATTTAATTATCAAATCGTCCATTCTTAAACTCAAGTTTGTCCTTTGATACAAATGAAGAAATTGTTGAGTATGCTTATATTTTCTTCACTATTTTGTCCACAAAAAATTCGACAGTCCTGGAAATATTCAAGAGTCAACTGAAAATAAAAAAAACTATGTCTCTGTTGAAACATAAGCGCGACAGAAATAGAAATAAAAAATCTACACTTTTCACCATTCAAGATATGATTGTTTTTTCAGAATATATCAAAAATCAATCTAGATATTTGTTTCATGAATTCACACATTTTTTTTTAATTGAAACGATTACTGAAATAAATAAGTGGAGTATGTAGAACGGAAGAACTGAATGATCTACGTTTAGAAAATGTGAATTTTAATTTATTTCATTTTATTATTTCACATTTTAAAAAATTGCTAAATAATTTTTCAGTACTGAATAATTATTCAAGAGTTGAATAAGATGCAACCTGTTGAATAGTATATGGTTATATATATATATCGATCATTCTCACTTTCCAGTTTTCTAAATATTCGAAAAGTTATTGGAACACTTTTTAAAACTTACTGTCTTGGAAGAATGTACTAGCCATTGTTTTGTACGTCTTTTTAACAAACTCTAGAGCAGATCTCCTCACAGTCAAACACCAAAGACGAGAGAAAAATTCTACGGAAAATAAGAAAACTTTGGCGACCGCAATTTTATTATTTGGCAAAGAAGAAGTTATTATTAATATACTTCAATGAATAAGATTTTAAATTATTTGGTACGTATGACGTTTTCCTTAGGAAATCATATAAACCTTATAACACATATATATATATGTTGTTTAATTTGTTCATAATTTACAGCTTAGAGATATTAATTGGAGTAAGTAGATGACTACTGAAGATTAAACTGATTCTTCATTTATTTGTATCTTGTTATTTGCCAGATATTATTAGACATAAGTATTAAGTGTTTTAATTATTTTATTAAAACGCATTCAAAATACTAATACATATAGTTATTACATCAGTAATATATAACTGAAGAATTAATTTAATCACCTAATATTAACCCTATAATAAAATACAAAAATGGTTTAAAGAGTCAAAATTACGACTTTGCTGAACCACAGTTTTACGATATCAATTTTTTTATCATAATTTTGTGGTAGGTCTGGTAGAAACTTCAGTTTGGAGAAATAATTTGGTTAACAATTTACCTAGTCATTATTACAGCCGGTCTTCAGCAGGTCCAGCACCAGAATATAAATAAATTTAGCATGGTTTTTATTTGGAAAATTTAACATGTTCTTTTAAAATGTATTAATATAGGTCCATTTCCCATAACGGAATAGATACGTACACCCTTGGTACATAGGTACACCAATTCGATAGCATATTAATCATATTATATTTAATAATTTAGCAAAAAAGTTGGTTATTCTAGGCTATAACAATGGTTGAAATTTTTAAAAATTAAAAAATTAAACAGTTACTTATGCAACCAAATATACATTTTATGTCGTTCCATTATTGTATCCGATTTTCCGATTTCAAAGTCCAAAGTGGACAGATTACAATGAAAACAAAATGATAAATATGTGTATGTGAGATGAGGGAAAAAATTCTTTAAATTACTAACACATTTTAAAGAGAAACAACGAAATTAAAAAAAAGTATGTATAAGAAAGTGATGTTATTGATTAAAAAGATGAGAATTTATGGTTAGGCTTTCAATTTTGTGCAGTTGCTGAAAGTGTAGATTTCGATGAAATATCAACAGGTCCATGATATTCTGAATTTAAATTCAGGTTTATAATTTGGTTCTCTTGAAAATTAATTTCTGGGAAATTCACCCCAGTATCAAATAAGTTTGAAGCAGAAGACCGTTGAAAACAATGTCCAATAGATACAAATACTGTTGCTCTAATTTTAAAAATGATATTATGTATTGTAGCAAGGGATTTTCGAAAATATGTTGTTTCCAGTTGGCTGTGTTGAACATCTATTGTTTTTGTACAAAATGAAAAATAGGTTAATGGAGTATGAATTAGTCTAACAGCAATGTACTGCCTTATTAAATTTATTACCTACTATCTTTCCTTATTTTCTGCAATTGTGAATATTCTCTATTTATTTGTTTTAGACAACTTAATAATAATCACAAGAAACTTTGAATTGAAATCTTGGAGCTCTGTTTTTGGAGTTTTAAAAGTTTGTCTTTTCTTAAAGCTCCAGACACTCCAAAATTAGTGCAACCTGCAAAGTTCTTTTTTTTTGTGTGATTGATCATTATTTTATCACCTTTATCGTTAATTAAGATTGCTGTACTTCGGATTTTTTACGAATGTGACTCTCAGTTTTTCTCTTCAGAGACATGTTTAATTCATGAAATTAATTTACTGACGTCAATATTTTTTTCAGAATTAAACTGGATTTTAGCGTTGAACAGGCTGTTTATAAAAATAAATGACTTCTTCAATGTAATTTCACAGGATCTAACAATTACTTACACAGTTAATATTCTTACCAAACTTAAATTAAATTGTTTAAAATGAGACGAAATTGCGGTATGTTTTAAAATAGGCCATCTAAGGGCACAACCTTTTACTAATTTCTCATAAAGGAGCTCTACTTTTGACGTAATAACATTCTACAGTTATCTGAACCAATATTGATAAAATGATTTTCTAATGTGTTAACAGGTGAACAGAGGGCACTGCTAAGATTTACTTAGTCAAAGCTGGCCAGTCTATTACTTCAGCTACTCAACACGAGAGGGCGCATAAATTCCTTATGGATGCTCGCTCCGCGCATCAATTTTTTACACGTGTTTACCTATTGTGCTTTTAATTTATTCTGCTTTTATTCTCCTTGTTTTTGTGTTGACGTTCATTTGAACAGCTTTACATTTATGGAACAACAGAGCCATAAAACTTATTTATTGCAGGAAAAAAAAGACGATGAGAGTCTGTTCAATTTGATTTAATCGTTGTGCATGGGGACTTTTCCAAATATCAGCATTATTTATATCGTAATTTGGAATAAATAAAACACTAATCGTTTCCATTATCTACGAAATTTTTCAGCAATGCTCTGATTCATTCATTTTATTTTTCTACGACATGCAAGATCGAAATAAAATACATAAAAAAGGAGCAAAAATAATAAAATTCACATTAATTTCTAGTCTCTAGATGGGTTCGGAATATTTTCGGAATATGATATAAAAAAATAATAACTTGCAATTCGTTCAAAGTCTCGCGTGTCTTATACTCTTTCTCTGGTTCGTTTGACATTCAATTATGTTTTATTTATTGCATAAAGTTTCAAACTTTTCGAGTATGCCATTTAGAAATAAATGAAGTTAGAGAAGTTTTATAATTGAAATTATCCGAGGTAATTTTGCGTGTTTAGGGACAACACACACACTAAACACACATCAAGATTTTAATAGAAACAGTGCATACTTGCTTAGAGTTTCTATTGAAAACAATGTGGTTCGAAATATAGCATCCTATTTATGTTGTGTCTAAAAATCAGTTTAAATAGCTGTTTCTCTTGTTGTAAAAATTTTATTGTAATAAACTCATTTATACACGTGTGTTAATGTCATGAACAATCACAGCATTTAAATTTAAAATATTATGAGGAAAATCGACGAATAAAGATTTTATTAATTTAGCAACGATAAGTACGTTATCTAGTTCTGAACGATTTTCAGTTTCAGTATCAGCTTGGTCAATATCTGATGCATCGTTTGTTGAAAATAAATTTACCGTCTTCTTAAACCTAGCTGCCATAAAAATGTTAAAAGTGATTCCACGCTTTTGATAAATAAAAGACCTATAAATTATTTATACACGTTTTATTCAATATTTGTAAACAAATAACATTTTATAGTAGCAACACGCAACACTATATCGTAGTTCGATTAATATAATTTCGATCGGATCGTACATTTTTCTCCACTTACGATTTCCTTCGACATCGCACTATATATTATGTAAATTTATGAATACAAGTTTTTTTATTTCATCGATACAAGGTACAATTTCCTTTTTCAATTAGTATGGCCAATATAGAAAACTCTAAATTTGATTAACATTCTATAATTATTTACAGCTGAATTTTTTCACACTGGCTCAACATCAACTGTAAGAGTGTCGGAAATTCAGTATACAA